GGTCCACAGACGACCAGGCAGCCCAGGTAGGCTTGGGAGTGGGCTTGATGCCATAGAGAACAGTGTGATGAAAGCAGACGCCAGTGGCATTAAGGGACATTTTGTGGACTCTTGGCTTATTGCAGGAGGCAGCTCAGGGCTGGAGGGATGGTGAGAGCATAGAAGTGAGGGAATCATCTCAGGGAGGGGAAGAAGTGTGTTGCCGAGTTCTCCAAGGTGGTCACAGTGGAAGGTTGCATGTGTGTGGTGTAGGGAGCTGGAGAGCAGGCCGGCACTGCCTATCCATAGTCCAGCACTGTGTGTCTGTGTCTCCTCTTTGAGCCGAAGTGCGTATAATGCCATCTTAGCTTTCGGTGAACCACATTTGAGCTGCTGTGTGGTGTTCTTCTTGATGGGTATGCTCAGTTGTCTGAGAAAACCAGATGTATTTGAAAGTCAGAGTTACAGAGGGAAGACAGACACAGTAGCAGCTTTCCACCTGCTGGGTCACCCTCCAGATGGCCACACTGGTTAGGACTGGGCCAGACTGGAGCCAGGAGCTTCATCCAGGTCTTCCATGTGGGTGGTAGGGGCCAGAAACACAGGCCATCTTCTGACGCCTTTCCCAGGCCCTTAGCAAGGAGCTGGATGCTGGTGTTGGATCTGAGCCCCTTTTTGCCCATTGCTTATGCAGCTGGCTCCCTGTTCTGTGTTGTGTATTTCAAACCTCTGCTGTGTTCCATACATGTTGGCTAGTGTCTGTCCACATACGAAAATCACTGAGTTTATCCTTTAAAGCATTGTGAAAACATTGAGTTCTTTATTAGGGTTAATTTCTGTAGAGTGTCTGTGAGTTCCAAATTTGCGTTTTTTCCTCAGGGGACAGACATGTCTGTGTATATGTGTCTGCTAGATATTTTTAAGGATTCCGTTGCCCATGTCATTTTAAGAAGCCGTTAACCCTGTGAGTTTTGGGGCCCAAGATTAACACATAGAAGAAAGGCTTGAAATGGCATAATTGACTAATCTTCTACTTTAAGTGCTGGTATCCCATATGGGTGCCAGTTTGTATCCTGGCTGCTCCACTTCATGCAGCTCCCTGCTTGTGGCCTGGGAAGCAGTAGAGGATGGCCCAAAGCCTTGGGCTTCTGCTCCCATGTGGGAGACCCGGAAGAAGCTCCAGGCTCCTGATTGGCTTCAGCTGTTGCAGCTATTTTGGGAGTGATTCAGTACATGGAAGAACTTTGTGGCTGTCTCTCCTTTTCTCTGTAAATCTGCCTTTCCAATGGAAATCGGTCTTTAAAAAAACAAAATACCGAAAGCCAGCAGCCTGGAGTGTTTCAGACTCCCAACTCCCTCAAGAACTGGATCTAAACTCAGTTTATCCCCACACTTGCCGGTGGTTTGCTGGGCCCAGGGGACTTCTGCCTGAGTTGGAGTGACTGCCAGTTCTCACAGGCGGCTTGCCCTTGCTCTCAGTCACTGACAAGATGAGAGTTGCTGATGGCATACATAGGGGAGTGTTTTGGGGGGCCAGTGTAGGAAGTTAAGCTTCTTCCTGTGGCACTGGCATCCCAAATGGGCATTGGTTCGAGTTCCAGATAATCCCCTTCCGATTCTGCTCCCTGCTAATGCACCTGGGAAAGCAACAGAAGGCCCAAGTACTTGCACCACTGCACTCATGTGCAAAACCTGAAAGAAGAGCTCCTGGCTCCTGACTTTGGCTTGACCCAACCCCAACCGTTGTGGCCATTTGGGGAGTGAACCAGTGGATGGAAGGTCTTTCTGTCTTGCTAATTCTCTCTGTAAGTTTTCTTTTCTAAAAATAAAGGAATCTTTTTAAAGAACTGCTGTTATGGCCCTGCCTTGTGCCCTGGGCAGTAGCTGAGAGGCGAGGCTGCTGCTTGCCTGGCTGTATCTTCCTGGCTCTGGCTGCAAATCATCTTGGCAGTTTTGGTTGGTTATGATCTGTGGTGAGTAACTCAGGCTGGCTCTGAGTTGGCTCTAGACCACCCACCCAATCCCAGAAATGTGAACAGATGGGCTTTGAGGGCCATAGGACCTCATGATGCAATGTGGAAGATGGCCACTGTGGTCTCATTCCTGTATTGCTCCACTCCAAGCCAGCCCTGGTGTCTGGGCTGTTCCTGCAGTGGGTGAGGCAGGGGCACCACCCGTGTGGGTGTATTTGGCCTCAGAGGTCATGGAAGAACTAGGTTAGCCTCGTGAGTGGGGTGACTTTCTGATGACAGGAAAGCAACATGCCAGGGAGTTGACTTCATCGGACTTGGTTCCTTGTTGCCTCCTGCAAAACAGAAGGCAGCAGGTCTGCTGTTTGAGGAGTCCTGCCTTGAGTGTGATGTGGCTGTTGAGACATCTGATCACCCACACCTTCCCTGAGTGACAACACACCCCAAGACTCGTGTCACGTGAGAAATTACCACCGCAGACTTGAATCCTGTGCATCTGTCCCTATTAAAAGGCCTGATTGCATCAGCCAAAATAATGGCACACACATTGGAGCTCTCTGGAGATGCCTGCGATTGATTAAAAAAAAAAAAAAGACAACAAACTAACAACTTCTAGAACATGGATTTAAAATGCTTTGATTTTTGGCTTAAATAAATTTATGACTAAGAGGATTGTAGCTGGTGGATTTTTTTCTCATTTTATTGAGCAGTCACATGTCTGAATTTCAGCTTTTTAAGAAAATGTGCACATGCAGCACCTGCCTGCAAGGGGTGCTGCTTCCTCCGAGATGTACCGGGGGTTGCTGGGGACTGCATCCTCTCCCGCCTCCACCATCCCTCTCCTCTCACTCTTTGTGGCTGCTGTCGCATACCCCTACCCCAGCGAGGCTGCTATTTCTGGCCCCATGCCTGACCAAGAAGACGTGCCAGCTGCCTCTCGCTTGCCACCCTGTCCTGCTCTGTGCTGCTCCTAGAGTCAGAATTCCCTTCTGCTTCTGTATCCAGAGACAGTCCTGCTGTTTATAGACACCACTTGCTCAGGGAATCTTCATGGCAGCTTCTGTTGGTGCCGTGTGTGGCTATCTATTCCCAGTCCTTGTTTATTTTTGGTTTATCTTCAATCATTGGGACTTTGGTTCTGGTTTCTGGGGTAGTAAGAATCACTCGGGAACCGCCCTGACTTCAAACTTAACAGGGCAGTACAGCAGCCAGGCTTGCTGTTCCCCGCTGTTCACAGCTGTCCCTCTGCTCAGCCTGGTCCTGTCTCTCTCCTGGGTGTCGTGGCCCCGCCAGCAGCAAGATGGGCTTGCAGAGAGCAGATGACTGGCTCAGTCCATATTCCGTGTCTAGACATTCATTTGTTCCCATTTTCAGCCTAGAATCCCCCCAGGAGTCCTGGGGTTCCCCTTCTCAGGCCTGCCGCCTGTGTGCTGGCTTCCAGAGCAGGTGGCCCTATCCGCCTTCCCTGTGTCCCCTTCGTGCTCACGGGTTACACAGTACAACACGAGAAGCGAGAAACACCGCTTGAGATCTAATCGGGCTTCCTAAAAGGGGTGATGGGATGTGCACGTGGTCCTCACCCTTCCCTTCTCAGCTAGTCTGTGTGCCTGGTTCTCAGAGTGTGTATGTGTTTTGAGTGTGTGTGTGTGTGTGTGTGTGTGTGTGTGTTGCATGACTGTGTGTGCATTGCACCAATGTGTGCCTGTACTTGAGCAAGCCTGAGAGCCTGTGTATGTACATGCTGCTATGGACGGTTCATTTCTTCCACAGAAGTCCAGCTGCATGGGGTGCAGGACGGCCCGGGGTTGCCCATGGTGGTGTCTTCACGGTAACAGGAACTTGAGACTCAAGGCCTGGGCTGTTTGCTGTGCTGTGTTTCCTGTAGGGACCGCTTCCTTGCAGCCTTCATGGATGAGCAAGCTGGCGGCAGGTCCAGGTGGAAAGCTGTTAGGGAATGTGGTTTCCCCGGGGACTATGACTGGGGCTTGGTCAGGGCATGGCCGGTGCCCTTGATCACTTGCTGGGCTGCTGCCTCCTGTTTTCCAGCCTTTCCTTCTGGAACAAATTGCACTGGGCCACCACTGTCTGGGTTGGCAGTGTGGAGTGGTACTGAAATTGAGCTGTTGAAGCCACTCATGGCCAGTACACATGTCTTGGTTGGTCCATGGTGGAGGATGACTGTGGAAGCTTAGTATCTTCTGTGTTCCTGCCTGCCCCAAATCAGTTGGAAACACATTGTAACACTCGCTGTTAAGACCCTCTCTGCAACACTTTCCAGCAGGCCCCACTGTGAATTTTGGTGTGTTTTGAACATTTAGCCAAAGATGCGTTTATTTTAAAGAGAGAAAAAGAGAAAATAAGCATGAGAGCGTGACCGAGAGCTTCCATCCACATGTTCACTCTCCTCGAATTCCACAACAGCTGGGGCCAGATGAGGCTTCGGTCACAAGCCTGGAACTCCATCCAGGCCTCCCATGTAGGTGGCAGGAATCCATGTGCTTGGGCCATCATCTTCTCTCTTCCAGCGTGTGCATTAGCAGAAGGCTGGATTGGAAGTGTGTTGTAGCTGGGACTTGAATGCAGGCACTGTGATTCTGGGATGTGGGCATCCCCATGTGGGTGGCTTGGCACCTGTTTCTGTTAGGATATTTTAGGATGCCTGTCACATCTGCCGTTTAGCGTTCTGGGTCTGCATGGCTCTCCTTCATCACTGGTCCTGAGGGTGTGAAGCCTGTTGTGTGCAGGTGAGCACCAATGTGAGTGTTTCAGGATGCAGGGATCCTTCCTTGCTTCTTGGAATGTTTCTATAGGTTGCGTTGAGGGGATTAATTTGGGTTTCACCACGTGTGTTGTGGGAAGAAGGATACACTTCTGAGAAATTAGGGTTGCCGCTTTCTGCCATCTCTGCCGTCATTTCCGATCAGCATTTGGGTGGAAGCAAAGTGTGCGGGAGTCTGCGTGATAAAGCAGAGGGCACGCCTGGGAGCTGTCTGGGATTTCGGTCATGTGATATGGTTTTGCTGTATTGGCTGTTTCTGTTCTTTTCTGCAGGATCCAAACTACTGGATACAGGTGCACCGCTTGGAGCATGGAGACGGGGGGATCCTGGACCTGGACGACGTGCTCTGTGATGTCGCGGACGACAAGGACAGGGTGAGTGCTCCTCTCACAGGCTGTTCTGGTTGTGCTCCAGAGCTGCGCAGGGATGGGCTTTGGGATCCTTGGCTCTCTTGTTTTCCAAAGATCTTCCTGCCCAGTAACTTATCAGCCAACGGCTAAAGATTTTCTGAAACTGCGGCTTTTGCAAACTGGGCACACCCAAGAGGTCTGCCTGTCACCGACCGTTTGCTGTAGTCGAACAGCTTTCCTGATGCCTGGAGACCCCGACCCCCGCTGTGTTCTCTGTGCTTCCACAGAGGTAGTTGGGGTGAAGGGAATGGGGTGTCCGGGTTCTGATCCCAGCAACTGCTTGGGCCATGCACTGTGAGGAGCAAGGGGTGCAGGCCACCTGTCACCCAGGAACGTCATGTCCAGGCTGTGGTTTTGATGCTGTCTACATGCCTGCTGTAACTCCCAGAGCCATTGTATGACCTGCTCTGTGCCAGCCCCTCATGCCCCCGCTTCCAGACGGGGAAGGACTACCCACAGTGTTAAGAACTTGGGGCAGGATGTTTGCCTGGGCATGAAGGAGTCGGGGAAGAGTGTCTCCTAAAGGGAGCTGCACGAATGTCCAGGATTGCCTGTGCTTGGGAGAGTAACTTTTGGGCATGTGCGGTTAGGTCACCGCACGCTGAGGACCCTGATGGACAGGCTTGGGCCTGTTATGCCTCAGGAGGGCTGCCTTGTGAGGCTGGGGGATGGTGAGGCGGGTTGCCCTCTCGTTCTGCCGTCCACCCGGAGCCCGGTGAGTGCAGCTGTTAGGGCTTCTGTGCTGCTGGGGTCCTCACAAAGGCAGTGTTCCCACCTCACATCTGGCTGATCTCTGAGTTGCTTCCTTGCAATCCCCAGGTAACCAGACATGGTGCAGATTCAGGGTTGTGGGCCCCCAGCGCACCCCCAGGTTCCCACATCTGCCCAGGTGGAGCTCACCCTCAGTAGCTGCTGTGGGTCAGACACTGTGTCGCTGTGCTGCAAGTTCATTTTTCTTTTCCGGGTGGGGCCATGTCTCCTTTTTGGGCTTTGCTGGGAGCTTGGTGGACACTTTTCTGCCCTGCACATGGACCGTGCCGTAAGTGTGTGATTTGGCTGCAGGTTCCTTTTTGCACCTGTGTTCTGGGGTCATAGGTGCTAGTGCATCTGCCCGTCCATCACCATCTGAACCCGCTCTGTTCCGCTCCTTGGCTTTGGCTTTGGCTGGTTGGTATCTTTGCTCCATCCTCTTGAGTGAGCCTGGCACAGCTTGTTAGGATCGGAACAGGCCCCTGTGAACCTGAGGAAGGTGGCTCCCCCTGGTCACCCAGAGTTCATTCCTGCTTGAGGGTTTCATCTTTGTGCTTTGTTGGAGAACAGCGTGAAGAGCATCATCCGTGTGGGAGCTGCGTGTGCAGTGCTGTGGTGCTCTAGGGCTTTAGTCTGACACACTGCTGGACACAGAGTGCGCACGCTTTTCACCTGCTGTGAGCACTTTGTGGAGCTTTACACCTGGGCATTTGTAGCCTTGTGTGTCATGTGGGCAGCCTCCTGTGTAGCTGGGTGCTGTGTATGTGTGTGGTGGCCCCATGTGCAGCCCCCGTGCTCCTGCGAGGTGGCCTCCTGCGTAGCTGGGTGCTGTGTCCCTTGCTCCTGTGAGGTGGCCTCCTGCGTAGCTGGGTGTGTGTGTGTGTGTGTGTGTGATGGACCATGTCCAGCCCCCGTGCTCCTGCGAGGTGGCCTCCTGCGTAGCTGGGTGCTGTGTGTGTGTGAGTGTGAGTGATGGCCCTGTGTCCAGCCCCTGTGCTCCTGTGAGGTGACCTCCTGTGTAGCTGGGTACTGTGTCCCCGTGCTCCTGCGAGGTGGCCTCCTGCATAGCTGGGTGTGTGTGTGTGTGTGTGTGTGTGTGTGTGTGTGTGTGTGTGTGTGTGATGGACCATGTCCAGCCCCTGTGCTCCTGCGAGGTGGCCTCCTGTGTAGCTGGGTGTGTGTGTGTGTGTGTGAGTGTGAGTGATGGCCCTGTGTCCAGCCCCCGTGCTCCTGTGAGGTGGCCTCCTGTGTAGCTGGGTGCTGTGTGTGTGTGTGATGGCCCTGTGTCCAGCCCCCGTGCTCCTGCAAGGTGGCCTCCTGTGTAGCTGGGTGCTGTGTCCCCTTGCTCCTGCGAGGAGCATGTGCTGTCACTTCCCAGGCTTGTTCCTTCTCACCTGGACCTCTCAGAGCTTGCAGGCACAGCTGGTGAAGGAGAGGATGAGCCTTGCTTTGCAGCCCAGCAGGTGGCCTTTTGGGTGGCTGGCCCTGTGCATTGCTGCGGTTCTGAAAGTCAGGGAAGGGTGGTGTCTTTGGGTTGCTTGTCAGCACCTGAGGGCGGTGCATCCTTCTGTGAGCACAGTTTTCTGGGAAGCCACAGGCGGAAGGGAGGGGTCAGGCAAACTGTGTCTCGTCTAAAGTAGCCCCCTGTCACAGCTGCAGGATTCCATTTAAATTATTTATTTATCTGAAAGGTAGAGTTATAGTGAAAGCGACAGTTATCTTCCATCTGTTGAATCACTCCCCAAGTGGCCACCAGAGCCAGGGCTAGGCCAGACGGAAGCCAGAAGCTTCTGTTGGGTCTCCCATGTGGGTGCAGGGCCCAAACCCTTGTGCCACCTTCTGCTGCTTTCCCAGGCATGTTAGCGGGGAGTTGGATAGAAAGTGGAGCATCCAGGGCTTGAACCAGCACCTATATGGGATGCTGCATGAGGCTGGGTTATGTGCTATACCACAGCACAGGGCCTACAACAGTAGGATTTTAAATAAACATTTACATGTTATTGCACATACATGGTGACAGCACCACATTGTATCAAATGTTTGGTTGTATTTCTTGCATACATTAAGGAAAGAAAAAAATCCTGGGAGGTGAATTTTGAACACTGCTGACGAGTGAAATACTGTTGTGTTAGATCAATTCTACACATAGAAAAACACTGGTATACTCTTACTGCGGTCTGCGATGGCTGCTCAATTAGGGTTTCCTTGTTGGCAAATTAAAAGCATCTCCATCATTAACCATTCCCAATGAGCTGCCTGGATCTTTGACCACATTTTAACTTGCAGGAAAGGAAGAAAATAACATTGAGTGAGCCAGATTTGGGGCGCCTGATCGAGGGGTTGTCAGGTGTGCTCCGTTTTTGTCTCCCGTGGCTCTGAAATTCAATTCTAATTGCCTTGGAGTGTTTACAGCTATTTTCTGGCAGCCAGTCCCAGTGAGCATGTGTCACCTGTTAAAATTGCAGGTTTAAAAGAAAAAAAAAAATTCACAGCACTCCTACATAGTCCCAATTACTTTGGTAGCGGAGTCCTCCGTCTGCCCTGAACTCACCTGTTCTTGGCCGGAGTACTGTGTCTGGTGCACGCCCGCCGAATTCCCTGAGACTTGTTTCCTTAGGCTGTTTGTACTTAGGTGGGCAGGCTTCCTGAGGAGCTGTGTTTTCTGGGTGGATTTCCCAAGATGCCCACCTTTCCTTCAACACCAGAATGTACAGGACCTCACAGCTGCCTGTGCTGCGACAAACAAGAGGTGTGCGATGAAGGATGCTCACTGACGCTTGTTGTAATGTCAAACACACCGATTTGTCACTGAGGATATATATATTTTTAGGTTCCTTAGAGCTGGCAAGTTGTAGAGAGAAGATAAATGAGCTAGCGTGGCAGCATAGTTGGTTAAACAACTGCCTGTGATGTGGTCGTTGAATAGAGATTCCTCTTCCAACCCAGGCTGCTTCACTTCTGATCCAGTCCCCTGCTTGTGGCCTGGGAAGGCAGTGGAAGATGCCCAAAGTGCCTGGGCCCCTGTAGCCAGGGCGAGCCTGGGATGGCATTCCAAGTTCCTGGCTTCAGTCTGTCGGAGCTTGAGCCGTTGTAGTTGCCAGTGGGTGGGATGTTGATCTCACCCTCTCTTTCCTTCTCTCTGTTTCTGAATGAACATAAGGGATAGACCTTGATTACCTAACACTTATTCACCGGGTGGTGGGCACAGGTTTTAGGGCAGCCCCCGCAGGGGTGTGTGGGGTCTGATATTCTTGGAGAGGTGGGAGCAGTTTTTGGGAGTCCCCTGCACACGATTGGGTATGGCCCTCGTCTGTCTCAGTTTGAGCAGTGCGTGCCGCCGAGGTTACCCCTCACACAGGTCCTGGTGTCCTGAAGTCAAGCAGGCTACTGGGTTGCCAAGGGTGCTGCCTGGTGGCCTGGGTGATGTTTGCTCATGGGACACGGTGGTCCCAGAGATGGTGTGGTGGATGCAGTCCAAGGGCTGCCCCTTAGTGCATCACAAACACCCAATGCCTGTATCTCGTGAAGGACAACTCATTTTGTAGTTTATTTGCCTTTGTTTTAAAGTGCAGCTGTTTTCAGAGATGGTGACAGTTTAGCTCTTTCTTAAAAAATGTATTTGAAAGAGCTGTAATACAAACACATTGCCTACCTTCATATTTTTAAAAAAATTTTATTTATTTTTATTGGAAAGTCAGGTATGCAGAGAGGAGGAGAAACAGAAAGATCTGATTCACTCCCCAAGTGGCTGCAAGGCAGGAGTTGAGCCAATCCAAAGCCAGGAGCCAGGAGCTTTCTCCAGGTGCCCCATGTATGTACAGGGTCCCAAGGCTTTGGGCCGTCCTTGACTGTTTTCCCTGGCCACAAGCAAGGAGCTGGATGGGAAGTGGAGCCGCCAGGACAAGAACTGGCACCCCTATAGGATCCCAGTGCATTCAAGGCAAGGATTTTAGCCTCCTAGGCTACCATGCCAAGCCCCCACCTTTGTATTTTGTACTTTCTTTTTTCTTTTTAGTTTAAGGATTTATTTTGTATATCTTAAAAACACAGAGAAAGAGTTAGAATCTTCCATCTGCTGATTCACTCTCCCAATGGCTGAAAGCCCCAGAGCCTGGTAAGGCTAAAGTCGGGAGCTTCCTCAGGGTCTCCTGTGGAGGTGCAGTGGGCCAAGCACTTGTGTTGTCTTTTGTCAGTGGCGGGGAAGCCGGAAGGGA